CCCCCCCCCGAAGAACTACCGCCGAGGTGCCGCGATAATGCCACCAATCCTCCTAGGTTTAGGCTTCTATTGCATGATCCAGGCTTAGTGTTAGATTTTGAAGTTCGGAGGGGACAGCATATGCATATCGGCAGCCGCCTTCATTCTCAATTGTTGTGACCCTTCTCACAGATACTCTGACATATGATTTCCCAACGATGAAAGTCATGTCTGTCGGAATACCCGAAGTTCAATATGGGCACGAGCATTAGCTCCCAACGTCTTCGCTACAGTTTCAGATCCAAGCCCCAGCAATACGTATGAATGACCGTGAGCATTGACTGACTCCTATTCCTAAACAACAATATCCTAAGACTATCCCTGCCATTAGACCTGACATGTGCGCCAATGGTGACAGTAGTCTTCCACTTCATGTTCACACACAAATGGTGCACGTCTTAGTTCGTATGGATTAACATGTTATGTCGACTTGTAGCCCCATTATCTATACATCCCCATATCAACTCACATGCCGAGCTGAAGGTTAATACAAGGTTCAGCTGACTGGCCCCCTGATAGTAAGGATATTGCATAAGCTGTTCCTTGTGCCGGATATTTCGTTCAGCTGCAACCCACATAATGGCCATTGGCTTGATCGACAAGTTAGTGCATCCAGATGTACCTGTGGGTTTCCATTCTCAAGACTCCGAAGTTAAAAGCCATGGCATCTCCATTACTAGTTGCTGTTTATATTAATTACATGTAAGCTAAATACAGCCCAAACATTTGCTTCAACGGTTGCCGTCATATTCATGCTAATATTAAACTACACGAAACGGATGCCATTAAGAACCGCGATCCTTGCTGTCTTCGCTCTGTTGTTCCCCAAAGGATGGCCCTTCGATTTTTAGGGGTTATACCAGCATTTGCTTGTTTACTTCAACATATAGTACATGGCGCCCCCTTTCTCACTGTCAGACTTGCTGTCGGACTTGTCCGTATGCGGCGTGTACATTTATGTGTCTATATTAAAGAATCAGGTTCAACCTGTACTAGGTACCAACATAGTGACGAAGATCATTAGCTGACTCCTGCTTCCAAACAACATCAACTCTAACCATACCCTTGTCGTTCGCCGTTATGTCAATGGTGACCGTAATATTCGCCTTGACAGCAGCCCTAAGGCCATCCGTAGTAGGCTTAGCACCACCCAGAATCTGACCCCGATGTTTAATGTTCAATTCACAACTTCAATCAGCTAGAAGACATCAAGCGGTAGCTGTGATAACCAGCTCCCTATCGACCCTGAAGTTGACCCGAATATTGTCTTGGCTACTACCCAATATATTGTAAAGTATTAATGTTGGCGGAATCGCATCCCAGTAATAAGAATACCCTAACCTTAAAGGCAACACTTGTTCGTAACGCGCGCAAACAAATGAAAGGCACACTCCTCGCTAGAAAACCTTGTTTTGGAGTGAAACACCAATTTTTTCCTAGGAAAAAGATGGTGTAGACGTGAAAAACCAACTATTTCCTAGGAACAGGATGGTTTTGGAGGGGAAAACCAAGTTTTACCTAGGAAATACAGAAAAAATATAAAAACACAATTTTTCTGAAAACTATACGGCCGAACTCCAAAAAGTTTTTTTTGTTTTTCCTAGGAAAAAGATGGTTTTTGGTTGAACAACAGACTTTTTTTAGGAAAAAGATGGTTTTGGTGTCAAAAACAATTTTTTTCCTGGGAAAAAGATGGTCTTGGGGCGAAAAACCAATTGTTTCCCAGGAAAAAGATTGTTTTGGAGTGAAAAGCAAATTTTTTCATAGGGAAAAGATGGTTTTGGTATGAAAACTAAATTTTTCCTAGGGAAAACCAAAAGGAACATCTTTTTGGAGTCCGGCCGTATAGTATCCCAAAAGATGTTTTTTTTGGAGTTTCACTAGGAAAAGTTGGTTTTTCTGCCCAAAACCATTTTTCCCCCTAGGAAAAGTTTGATTTTTCAACAAAAAACAATTTTTTTCATAGGAAAAAGTTTGTTTTTCCAACAAAAACCATTTTTTCCTAGGGAAAACCAAAAAAACAATCCTTTTCAAGTTTGGCCACATAGTCTCCCAAACGATGTTTTTTTTGGTTTTCCTTAGGAGATAGTTAGTTTTGGGAAGAAGAGCACAGTGTTGCTGTTAAGCGTGTGCTCACGTCGAAACGTCGAACTTGAACGAGCTGACTGATACGTTCTCTTGAAATGTGAGTTTGACTTCGGTAGTCTTTGAGAGATACTGAATCCGGACTTTCCGTCCGACCTGAGCGAGTTGATTGACACGTTCTCTTGAAATGTGAGTTTGATTTCGGTAGTCTATGAGAGATACAGAATCCTGACCTTCCGGAAAAGCTGGTCTGGCACGGTATTCACGATACAAAACGAGGGTAGGTAGTTCTTGGGGAGGTACCATGTATGTATGTATATGTATATATATGTATATATGTATATATATATATGTATATATATATATATATATATATTAATTACATACACGTATGTATGCGCTGATTATTACGACATCTGCATGAATAAATAAATTCTTTCAGGGCTAGCTCATTGGAGAGAAACTTGGAAACAGACCTGGGATGCTTTCCTGCATGCGACACTTCCGTCGGATCCACCCGTCTCCTCTGTTGTGACCGCCGTTCGAAAGCGTCACCGCAGACTCCTAGAACTGTCACTCCTTCGCTTGCCTTCTAGAATGTCCTGCATGTAAGCACCACTCCGATGCGGCTTCCACTTTGTTCTTCGTGTGGGATTGTGGTTGAGGTTTCGAGACATCTATTGTTTCAATGCCCAGCGTGCTTGGCCTTTGTACATGTGGACATGTTAGCAGAGCAATCACTTCTCACATCTCAGGTATAGGAGTGTCAACGGTTTCAATGCCGCTGGAGCTTTGGCTTCCGGGCCCAGCCTGCCGAAGTGTTGCAGGCGATCTCCAATGCACCAATTCTGCCAGGGCTGTGGCAGGCAAAGGGCATTGCAATATTGATACCTGCATCCCCGGTGTTAATTGAACTGAAAGATTCGTCAAGTGGCAGCCAGGACATCCTCAGCCTTGCAGTGATGAGCCGTTTGCAACATGAGCGGAGGTAGGTAGTCAGGCGGCCCTTTGATTGGCACGCACAGAGCACCGCGTCGGCGTTTTTGGAAGCTTTTGGACTTCCTCAAGCGTCGTTAGTAAGCCTTTTGCCGAGTGTCTGTGCAAGAGACAGGGCTTGGCCTGTAAGCTGAGTGTTGGATTTGCACAGCAATGTTTGTTCCGCAATATGCAATCGCAGTCGCGAACACGGCCTGACACGGTCAACGGGGAAGCAACTTGAGCACTGTTATCAAATTTTAGGATACATGGTTCTGTAGAACATGTTCGGATCGTGCTGTGAAGGCCAAATCGGCGGCTTGGCCGACAAGTTGAAGGTATGTTGACCAGGTGTGCTGCGAAGACAGAGCTTTCGCGAAATCGAAGCTGAAAGACAAGACGTCAGTTTGTGAGCACTCGGGCTAACTAGGGCCACTAGGATGTGCAGCACGCCGATCACCCCAGAGCCCACTTGTCACTGAGCGAAGAGCTGCTCAGCAGGCCAAGCGGCCTTTTTCAGAGCGCGTGAATTCACCACTCCCTCTTTGATGGTCCGGCCATCTGTTAAAGGTAGACGGTGTTATTGTGTGATATTTGCCAACCCTGAGGATGGAGATGCGCGCACCCTGCTAAAGGCAGACCAAGAAGCAGTGTATTCAGGCAGCCTTGACCTCAGCTTGTGGACTGTCGGAGGCATCTTTGAAGAAGCACCGGTGTGCCGAGGCATTGTCGACAACGACAGCTCGTGCCAAGTCGTGTCCGCTCACGCCGGTCCTGGGAGATGCATAAGAGCGTCATGGCGGTAAACGCCATAAACATTGCTGTTTTGAGAAGCTGTGTAAGGATGTGTATGGCTTGTAGCTTCAAAGTCAAACAGAATGATCTCAATAATGCCAGGCGCGCATGAACCGACATGTCTGTCGACCATCTTGGTTTCGGTTCGGTGGAGAGTGTTCTTTGTGCGATCATTTTTTTGAGCGTGTCTGTGTCGGCATATGTGCTGGTGTCTGTTTGTTGTGCCTTTGGGTCAAAGATGCCATGTTGGCGGTAATTAAAGCCCTAGCATGCCCCTGAACAACCCTCCGCCGACAATGTCCTGTCATGCCCGGCGAAGCTGGACATTCTCGTAAAGAAGCTGCGCCACAGCCACGCTCAATCTGCAAGCCGTGAGTACTGTAACTGTGGCAGTGTATGGCATGAACTGAAGATCTCGTTTTACCATTGAGCAGATCGGCCGTGGTCAGCTTCCGAACATCTTGATCCCAGCATGTGCTTGGGGTTTTACAAGCTTCATTTTTCGGGGTTACTGCGATTGAAAATCCGGTGTGTTCCTGCCCCAGTAACAACTGTAATCAGTTGTAAGTTGTAACAGCAGTCCTTTCAAGGCGAGCGTACAAAAGTCGCAGGTGCAACGTCTTTTTGTCAGCAGCTTTCGGAGAAGATCACATTTCGTTGAGCAATCAATCTTTGATCCCATGTGTGACTTAATGTCTACTGCTCAGCACGGTGAAAGATCCTCCGGCAGGTCATCCACAACGGCTCAGACCTTCAAGTGCATAGCGTGCACAGTGTAAGGGCCTAGGCTCGACAGCCCACGCAGCCATGGGCATCGAGCGAATCCTGACATCCTCAGAGCGCGACTTCGTAGCAAAGTCGGTGGACTACATAGAGGTCGCGTTGCTGTTTGCTCTTCAGGGTGCACACGTGCTGGCTGAAGGAGTGCATTGCCAAATACCAGAACCAGGGCCGCAGCGTCGAGACCCTGGTAGGAACATCATGTGTTGCCGTCGAAATAGAAGCCAGTGTCACGCCATAGGCCGCGAGTTTTGTGTTGGGCCTCTCCGCGTCCAACGGCCGGGTCCGACGGGCAAGGCGGTTTCAAGCATTCATGGGAGGGAGAGAGACAGAAAGATCGCGAGAGCCTGGTGAAAGAAAGATCGCGAGAGCGAGAGAGAGAGAGAGAGAGAGAGAGAGAGAGAGAGAGAGAGCGCTCTGGCTCGGAGAAATTTTGCCAGAGTGTATATGCTGTATATGTCAATGGCATGGCCACTCGCCCCTTTCCGAGGACCATCCTTTTGCAGATCACTGAAAAAGGCCGCCTAAGGCCAGACCTTAACTCCTTGTACCAGCCATGATAGACAAATGGAGTGACCGGACTTTGACAGGAACCCAATAATTCGAGGCTACGGAGGGCACTCTTTCCTTACAAGCCCAACAGAATGGTGTGCCTGCAGCAACACAAGATATGCGGGGCCGTTAATTGAAGCATGTCTTTCCCTCCTGCCTGAGCTTGCTGAAGGGAACCCGAGAACACTATATGGATGTCGTTGATGGTGCTGCTCTCTAGGGTTGTCACTTGAGTTTGTGGTTCTGACAATGCTTTCTACTCGGGACACCCCAGAAACTTTCTTGAACAGTCGAGCCCATCCAAACAAAATGTTCGATGGGGTTGCGCACGTGTGCGGGCCGCAAGGACTGCTTGCGGTCCATACACCGGAGCAAAGCAAAGCGAGAGTGCTGGATAGACCTGCGGGATCCGGTGCGCGCCCGCGCGGAGGCTTCGGCCTCTTGTCCGAGTGCAAGCACGAGAACTGGGATACCTTGTAACCTTCTTGCTGTGTGCTTAAGGAGGTCGATTCTGCCCGTTTGGACTTGTCCTTTGGTTTTTGTTGCTTTAGGTATCTTGGCTTTTGGCTTCTCGGCTTCCGCGCCTTGGCTTCTTGGCTTAAGTTCCGGACCTTGGCTTCCTATAGTCTTCGGTTTTGTTTGAGTCAGTCAAGTGCTCTGTAGCAAGACGGTTCATGTGGCGTGGTCATCTGCATTGGCTCATAATTCAGCACGGCTCGTTTTGGGGTCTTTCTGTTCGGCCAGCATGGTTCGATACCTGTTGCGATTACTGTTGCTGTTCTCGTCACTTTCATCTCTTGCTTTGATTATGACTATCATTCTTATTCTTCTTGTGATCTTTCGTGCTTGTCTTGTTACTGTTATTCTGCTTCTTCTACTCAATCTTGGAATTGTTATTGCTCTTCTTGTTGTCCGTCTTCTTGTTGTTGTTGTTGTTGTTGTTGTTGTTGTTGTTGTTGTTGTTGTTGTTGTTGTTGTTGTTGTTGTTGTTGTTGTTGTTGTTGTTGTTGTTGTTGTTGTTGTTGTTGTTGTTGTTGTTGTTGTTGTTGTTGTTGTTGTCGTGATTGTTGTTGTTGTTGTTGTTGTTGTTGTTGTTGTTGTTGTTGTTGTTGTTGTTGTTGTTGTTGTTGTTGTTGTTGTTGTTGTTGTTGTTGTTGTTGTTGTTGTTGTTGTTGTCGTGATTGTTGTTGTGATTGCTGTTGCTGTGACTGATTGTGACTGTACTCGTATGCACTATTACGATTCCGATTGCTTTCGCTATTGAACTATTGAGCACTTTTCTATTGATGTTCACGAGTTTTTGCTGCTTGGTTTTTGCTCTTGCAATTATGTTTTGCCACGATTATTTCGGCTCCCATTCATACTACGACAAATATTACTCTGACCCCTACCTACTAGCCGCTGCTAGCCTGCCCTGGCACTATGTCTGTCTCCCCCTCAACCCTACCAACAAAGGGGCTCCCTGCCTCATCGTGTTAGCGAGCCTGGTTGGGCAGCAGAAGGCGAAAGTCCAACACAACAAATCCTGAATTAGTTCACGATCTCGAGGCGAATCACCATATTCAGCTGCCCTACGGCGCTGTCATCACCGCTTTTGTCTTCGGCGATGGCGTTGCAGCCCACAGCGATCACGGTGGTGATAGTGGGTAGCATGAGCCACAGACACGCAAAGCATTCAACAAGCATGGGGCAGCCTCTCGTGTTGCGATGGCCAGCCATCGGGAGAAACACAGCAGAGCACAGGCGTGCAATTGGTTTACTTTCCGACCGGCCGAACTGTTGTGCAATCACAGGCTCCGGCCATTGTCTGGCCACAAGGGGGGCCCACGGCAGCGCACCGCTCGCCGAGCAGCCACCAACACCAGAACGTACCAGGCGTTTGGATGGCAAGCGAAACCACATCAACCCCTGACACTATCCTTCCCCGAGAGCTGCACAGGAGGGCTGCGGTTCTTCTAGGATTCTGGGTTTTTCGCTTCAGAAAAAAGGAGGCAGCAGCTTTCCCAACCAGACGTCTCGAATCCAAGTTCGATCTCGTACGGGAGGGCGCCGAACTGCGCAAAGATCGAAGCCGGCCGCTCAATAGCAGGGGCTGATGTCTGTCAGACAGCCGCTACGCCTAGACTCGGCCTAGACAGACAGAAAGATCCGGCCGACCCACGAGAACTCTGAAACCTGTATATACAAGCAGCCGGTCGCGATCATCAGGGCAAAGTGGGCAACAGATGCAGCAGCTGCGGCATTAGCAGGGATCGGCCAGGAACCACCGAAATACTAACATGACCTACTGTTGCATCGCTCACGGTCCGCATTGGTACGCGCTTCTTTATGCCAATGCCCATCACAGATTCAGCCAGGATTCGCTGCAAGACATCCATCTCTGCACGAAAGCATATCTATCTGAAGAAGCTGTCAGTGCAAGTGCTGCAAGTGGTTTCCAGTGCCACTACGGTGCAGGCAAGCAGACGTTTGGTCTACATTGGCTGGGCGAACTAGCATCGACTGGTCGCGTGTTTTTGCTGCTGGTCAGCATCATAGCCTTGAGGGAGGGCCGAGGTTTGAGGGGTCGCCGCTGATGGATTCCGGAGCTGTCCACAGCCAGGACATTATTATTAGGGCGAGGCTTCAGGGTTGTGTTTGTACAGAGTCATAAGGCCGTGACCTGTTGAGACTAGTGACTAGATGAGTGCCGTCCTGCTTCAATCAACACTTGGCCAACGCAGCCGCGGGTGGAGCACTTCGAGTCTCTAGGGCAACATCTATGGTTTTCGAAATAATCTGTCAAGAATTTTCAAGAACTTCTAAGTCAGAAGCAATCCAGTCAAGGTGTTCTTGGTCGATGAGCGCTATGGATGGAATTGTCAAGAGGTCTGCAGGGCCACTGGAACACATGCAGCGTCATCAGCATGGTGTGTAGCATAGCCAGGAGAGCAACTCCTTCCTCATCCGTGACACACTCGTTATGGCCTAGGAAGCAGAGCTCGTGAGAAAGCCACAGAAACTGCAGCTTCCGATGACGACTGAGATCAAG